ATGTAGGTGAAAATCTAGTGAGTACAGATTGGCATGATCAGTACAGTTCTCACTACTCAGATAGATTACAAAAGTGATGTTCTTGAAACTTCAGACTATGTTTTGCGTCAGAAAAAGCTTTGAAGACTAATGTTTAATCACATGGCCATCCCAGCTTATTAAATAAACTATTTGACAATCACAAAATGTAAAACTTACATCATATCATGAAAACCACCAATTTACCAGAGATTTGCCTGTGACATATAGACATGCACACCACACTTTTGCACACTTCATGTCCACTGTAACTCATAATTTAATAAACCATATTGCCAGAGTATCAGGTATGGACTAATTTCATCATATCTAACTTTCTTCTGTATTGCAGCCATATGCCACAACTAGATCCAGTCTTCACACTGCCATCTTGTCATAGCATTGTCTTCGAGTGACCTTCTCTGGCTTTTGTTTGGAGATCTTGTGTGCATCAATTATCGTAGACCTTAACCACTCCACATATTCCCAAGGACATTGTTCGAATGGGGAAACACCATATCACATCAACAGGCAGTAATATTTCTCACCAAAATATGAGCTTGTTCAGCAAACAGCTTATACGCCATCATCGTGCAAGAGTTCATCCCAGTTAGCTCAGTCATGATTAACTAACTTAATAAACATCTGCTTAGTAGTCTATATTACCCATTCTACCAAACCATCAGACTGGGAGTGATAAGGTAAAGTGCATACTTCCTCCACACTTAACACCTTACACAATTCAGCAAACATTTGTTGCAATTGGTTTCCTGATCCATTTGGATTTCTCTCAATGCTCTGAACCATACTATCCAGTTATTCACCAATGCATCAGTGATGGCAACGAAATGAGAGCTTGATTAGCCTTGGCCCACTTTTTGAAGTTGTCAAGAGTGATTATTATGTATTGCTGACCTCTTTCAGTATTCAGGAGTGAACCAGCAATATTCAAAACTACCTCTGCAAAGGAGACCCAACAATTCTCTGTTGAAGCTTATCCTTTTCTCTTCTTAGAGCTTCTTAAGTGTTAATCTTGGCATCCATCCACCAGCAAAGATTTCTACTTCATGACTTGCTTTTGTTGTAGAGGAAATATCTATGATTTGTATTCTCCCATGGTGTCCAGGATAGAAACATTTCATGAACTTACAAGCTTTCATCATGTGGCAAAATAATCCTTCCATGTTTCTGTGTTGTGGGCTAGAGCATTGAACTAGGAAAAGTCATATTTTTACAATTCTGTTACCCAATGAGTCATCAGACCTTCTGGATTTTCAAAGCTCATTATCCACCTCAATGAAGCATGGTCCATCTGGACAGTTATCCTCCTATCATACCAGTAGTAAAAACAGTTTTTCATAAAGATCACAACTGCAAATATTTGTGTCATACAATATTTGCATTTGGATGCTATAATTGTAAAAGTAGCATGCGTAATTACACATTCTACTCTGTTCTGCAACTGTGATAAGATCACTCCAATATTATTGTTGATGATGTCAGTGTCTAACAGGAATTTACTGTCTTGGCGTGGATGGGCTAACACTTGAGCACACACCAAAGCATGCTTTAGGAATCAGAATACTTAGCAACATTCTTTGCTCCATCCAATGTGTGTCTCAAGAAGTTGGCCACAAATCATCATTAATACGACACAAACTGAGGAACTAAACTTTTCATTTGGCTACAGTTTAAGGCCAATCTCTCACCACAAGTGTCTTAGTCAGGCCCATAGAGAATCCAAGTCTCCCTACAATATGACCAAGAAACTCCACCTCAGTGAATATGGGTGGTATTTTCTAGGTTTCAGTTTCAAGCCTGTTTATTTGTCTGTTAGAATACCATTCTCAGGTTCTCAGCCACAGACTCAAACATGTGACCATACACCAAACATACATCATCAACATAGACTAGGCACCTCATTCATTGCACTCCCTTCAGTGTAAGCTCCATTAGCCTCTCAATGTAGTGGGTATGTTACACAGGCCAAATGGTATGATGCAGAATCCATACAAGTCATCTCTTATATTAAAAGTAGTTGTAAGCCCGCTTTCACCCTCCAGCTTGACTTGCTAATACATGAATATCAGATCCTAAGTGTTGAACCAATGCAAACCATCTAATATATCCACAAATTAATTTGTTCATGGTAAAGAAAAGACATCAATGTAAGTTGCTACATTTACCCATTTAAACTCACCTCAGAACCTTGGTATACTTTCCTTCATCCTAATAATTACAACTGCAGATTACCAAGTACTATCCAAATGTTCTGTGGCTCTGCCTTCTACGTCCACTGCATTTGAGCACAGGCAATTTCTCTAATTCTCCAGGGAAGCTGGCATGGAAATTGGTTTATCAGATGTATCTATGCAATGCAAATCACTGTTGTTTGACCCAATTTGTTATGGTATTTCTGGTCTCACAACTATATTGATATATTCAAACAAAAAGTCACTGAGTTGCTTTTTCTGTACTGGGGTCTAGATTGTTCACACAATCCTCAATCAATCGCCTCATATGTATTTGTAGCTACATAGTTGCTTTGGTTGTTGATGATGAATGCTACCCTAATGTTAGCACTAGCATCAGTTACTTCCACTTGTTCATGGGTATGTCCTCTCGACATTCTCACTTTTCATCCACATAAGTAGCCAGACTTTCTGTTCCAGTCCCCTTTCAAGCTTTAAACTTAGCCTCATGGATAACCCAATTCTCTACAGGGTCAAATTGGTGGTTACAACACATAACCAACTACATCCCTGTTCTTCTGTCACTCCTCATACAGGCTCAAAATAAAGTATTGGACTGCTTGCTCCTAAGTCCGGCCATTCCAGGCAGTTACCTATCTGAAATGCTTAAAGAATCAGTCAAGATCTTCTTTTGCCACACCTTTGAACATTATGGGTGAAATCTGCTTATCTGATACCAAAAGCCTTACCTTAAGAGTTATCAGTCAATGCCTGGTTGAGATGTCCCTGGTATCATAGTTAAATGACAATGAGCATACTCAGACAGGAACCCCAACATTCAGAGGATTAATCAGTCCCTGGTCCAGGGTAGCAAGTCACTTATAGCAATTCTCGATACAGGTTTCATTGCAGAACACAGTCATCATTGCAGGATATCTCTTGGCTCAGGTGGCTGTGGGTGATCTTGTCCAGGGCTAGGACTACATCTGGCTAGTGACATCTTGAGAGTCCTGTACAGATTTTACCAAGTGGTCTTGGACTCGCCAGATACCTTTCCCTTTGGTAATCCTCAGTCATCCTTACTTCCTATGTGCCGAAATCAACCATCAGGAACATGGTTTGATCAGCTGTTTTTAGTGCACCATACATCAGTCAGTCATCTTGAGTCAGTGGCTATAGAATTATTGATGTTTGGGATCTTTTCAACATCAACAAGTATCCTGTATCTAGGAAACGACTTCTCCCAAACTTGGCACATCTCTTGTAGAACCGTTTCTTTCTAGTAGCAAACTCAATGGTATTTCTGCTTTTGAAAATATGGCATTTTTAAGTTAAAGCATTTCTTTAAACGCCTTTAAACTCAAGAGATTGAGTAAATCCAAATATGCACATTATTACAAAGAGAAAACTATGTAATAAATTCCTGTGGGCGTGGAATCAAATTTTGTCATTCCTACTTATTTGTGATATTCTCAGGTAAGCATATTTCCACTGAAGTATTTGATAGGTCTGATTTATAATGGTCAATCAAGAAAATTGAGAAGTAAATTTTGCTAAATAACCGAGTTTTGAGCTAAGAAATAAACGGATTAGACACGTAACTTAACATGAAACACAATATTTATTCATAATACAAAGCAATGAAAAATAGCGTGCATACTTATTTAAATGCTGGACAGTTGCTTTTCTACGGGTTCAGTGAATCAAACAGCAGTTATTAAGTCTCAGGATATCTTTCCATTGATCTACTCACGTTTCACACCAAGTAAGAACTAGATGTAGATCTATTCTGACTAAATCTAAATCTGACTCTTGGTACCAGAAAGGTAACGTCTGTTTCACCCAAAAGTGATACGTGGCTTTACCGCGTGACTGGCATACCTAGTACAATAGATAAAGGCTGTAACCACTTGATATTATTCACGCGCCCAGATAAGGACTTTGCTGTCAATGACTGAGCTGTTTCCACTCAATGTGCTAAGTTGCAACAACGTCACCGCGGGCAAAGTACATAATACTATAATCTGTTAGTGAACAACAAAGACACAAAAGCAACGAGAACGAAACAATTCCAACAATTTTCTGGACCACGTGTTTATGTCAAACTGCAGGGAAACAAAATAAACAAAACATTTAAATTCCTGTATCAATGTATGTTTGATTTTAAACAATTAATTCATAATTTCTTTCTAAAATTAATCACTTACAACTCATTTCCTATCTCTCCATGTTTAGTGTATAATTTTAAATTTGACACCTTGTCTACAACATGTGTAACACAATCTTTTGTTTAAGTTTTCTTGTATTTGGTTGTTTTTTTGTTGTTTTTTTTCATATGGTCTCCCGGTGGGACAGAGGTAAGTCTTCGGATTTACAATGCTAGAATCAGGGGTTCGATTCCCTTCGGTAGACGTAGCAGATAGCTATTAGAAAACATACACACATTTTTCGTATAATGTTTCATTTAAGACATGATGTAATATATTTCCTATTCTCTACGAAAACAGTGCCCCCCCCCCAGTGGCACAGCGGTATGTCTGCGGACTTCCAACGCTAAGAACCGGGTTTCGATACCCGTGGTGGGCAGAGCACAGATAGCCCATTGTGTTGCTTTGTGCATAACTACAAACAAACGAAAACGGTGTATGCAAAATAACAGACATAATTTATGCCTATGCTCAAAAATATAGTTGTAGAGGGCGCTAATTTTGTTCCTTGGTTATGATAATTTCACTCGGGTTCGAGAAGGAAGAAAGTTTTATTGCTTGATGTAAGTTGTGATTTATACGTGCTAGAGATTTAGGTCAATTATTTTAGAGGAGGGTCTAGAACTATATTGTAACGCCAATATCAATAGTTATTTGTTTAAGGAAGTTATAGGTTGTGAAATATATAATATCGAATTTAAAGTAACTCCTCTTGAATTTTAAAATATTTTAAGACTTCGAATGTGTATTACTTGTAATATCAATAATAAACCAGATATTTGTTAGTTTTACTAAGGTTTGACTAGTCAGTGAAGAAACGAACATGTAGTCGTACATATTTGACTTCAGAAATGTCCCAGATCATTCTTCATGTTACGTAGTAGTACGACATATGCTTAGTTTAACTGCTTTGCTTTTTGTGCAGTTCATTTCTTAAACTTAAAGTTTCACATGCGTCAAGAAAGGATAAAATCAAACTTAAAGTAAACATTATTTGTAAAGTACCGATTGAGTTAACTACTTCACACGAATTATAGTTGTACGAGATTGTCTAACGTTAGAGTCGCTTAGAGTTAGAACAGAAGAAGTCGGAGACAAAGTGAGACTGTCGCAATGTCACTGTGACTGAAACATGGGAGTGACTCATTGAGTCAATTGTTATGTAGCCAAACCTGATCTTTTGTTTATCACTTTATGCCTTCATCTTTTCAAAATGGTAACTTCAAGTTCGGATGTATCACACAAAGGACAGCAAAAGGTAAGCCAAATGTCTCGGCTTATTTATTTTAAATTAAACTGGGTACTAGTAATACTACTATACAGACGTAACACAGTAACCTGAGTAGGTATGTCCAGCCAAATCTTACCTTATATAAGTTATACAACTCATAGCTATAACAGTAAGTTACAGATAATAAACTTGTAAAAGTTGTAACATAACAAAAAAGTGATAGCACATGTATAGTCGTTAATTTTATAGATGCAAATTACATAACTAAGACTAGTGTGCAATATAAACAGAGTATATGCTCCAGTTTAACCATTACCTCACTGGAAAAGGAATCAGTTAAATCTTAAAGCTGACAGGAAGAAGTATTAAGTCCCTCTTGTAGCTAGTAGTAGTAGTAGTACTAGTAATATTCATATCAATGTAACACAAATGGCAGTGAAATGAAAAATATAAGCCAATGTGATATATAATAACTATATATGTAACTTGTATATATAGTCAATTCATGAATGCATAAACTTGTGAATTTTTATTCCAAGTTCACAATGTAGACTCGGATGCTTCCACCTTGACCCCTTTGTGTCCTTGATAGAATTTGGTAGGTTTAGTTGATGTTATTTAATCATAATTTTGAAATAGTTTGAAAGTTTATATCAAATATACAGTGATTCACTCGGTAACTTGTTAAACATGAAATTACATTCTATATTCAGTTCCTTCTGACCCCCTAATGAAAATCAATATTTCAGTGGCACATTTATCATTGTAATTGGGGCAATACACTGACAGATCCCTCATATTGCAGGCCCCAAAAGTAATGCAGAAAAAGTTTATACATTTCTATACCTATAGCTGATCAGTAAAGGTGGGCCTCTTAAGAAAATTGCACTGAGTAGTATGAAATGTTAAAAACACCTCTGCATTATTAAAAGGTGACAATTTTCCAAATGCTTCTCTTATTGGCTGAGTTTTAAATTCATCGGTGTATGTAAATGTTTTAAGACTATAATTTCTTGGATCCTACCAAGACCCTGTCTTTAACGAAAAAAAAGTGGGATCACATTGGCAATATTCTGATCATCAAGGTTTTTATCAGTGTCAAGAGACTTTGAAAAATAACAGTTAATCCACACACACACACACACACATAAGCTCTTAAATTCTGTAACGTAATGTAATTTACAGGAACCATATGATCCTTCAAGATTGTCCTTGGACACTACCTTGGGAAAATAATTTAAACCCACCCTTTACTTTTCAGAAAATCATTGATCCCCCTCTTAAACTTCTGTAAAGTGCTCATATCAACTACTGTTGATAGCAACTCGTGTCAACTATTGTTGATGGCAACTCGTTCCATAAGTCAATCATGCTGTTAGAAATAAAATTAAGGTTTTAAGAAGTCTATCATTAGAGCCAGCAAACTTTTAATATCAATAGAGTTTAAAGAAAAATCTTCATTCCCTAAAATTAAAAAGAAATTGTTCAACTTGAAAAATCTCCTCTTCAATTTCATATTTTATTATAAAACATTACCCTTTGAAATTTAACCATAACTTAAAAAATTATGTTTATTTTATAAACATTAGCATCCTCCATGTTACAAGTGAATTGTCTGTTAGTAAACATTTGGCTCGAATACTCTTCTGAATCAGAAGCACTAACTTCGATAAGTTGACTATTTTCATGAGTCTTGACACTTAACTGATTAAGCTGAACAATTTTGTATTATGATAAAAAATATCATTATTTAAATTACTGGATTGTTGGAATAATCAAAGCTAGTAATAATTAAAAACACTAATTTCAGCTAGGCAATTATTTTTGTGATAATCGATTTTAATCATCATTTTGATTAATTAGTTATTCTATATAACACTCACTAGTCAATATAATTGAAAGTCATGGATAATCAAGTTAATTGCCCAGATCTTTTTTTTTTTTCTGATTATTACTATTCTTGATTATTCAACTCTCATGTGAGAATAATTGATTATTGAGCTAGATGATTAATCAGTTAGCAAATTCCACTAATTACCCAGGGCTAGTAATTGGTGATTCTTGTTTTGATATGTGGATAGAGTAGTGTCTGGGATAAACAGTGAGAGTAAAACTAGGGTTACTCAGGAGCTGAAGTGAATATAATTTAGAGGGTAGATGGATGTGGTTGAAGAGGCCAGTAAGAAGACTATTTGTGTAATATATATTGGTGCTAATAATGAAAGGATAGTAAGATCAGAAGAGACACTCAAAAAGTACTGGACATTCATAAAAGCTTTTAAGTGAAATCAATAGTTTATTTTATTGGAGGTGTTGCCAAGGTTTAATTGTGATGGAAAGGTTTTAAATAACTAATCAGAACTAATGATAGTTTGAAATGCATCTCATTTTGGATAAATTAGATGGATGCATTTAGGTGAGTTACTTGAAAGAAAAAATTATGGAATGGACAGACTTTGAGTAGGAGAGGGTTGACTTTTTGTAAAGGTTATTAACCTTGCTATTCAAAAAACTGTATTAAACTATTATGTATTGATGAGAGAAAAATGTTGATTTGAAAAAAAAAAAATGGTTTCAAATATATTCAATGAAGAATTCATGAGGGTAATTAGGTTGAATTATAATAATGAGAATAATACCACTAGGAATGATAGAGAAATCCATGGATCAGGACAGGCTACAAACTCAAGGTACCCATATAATTCCTTGAATGTTACTTCTTAGGCTAAAGTGCTATTATTCAAATGTTAGAAGAATAAGAAATAAAGTTTATAACTTAATTCATGGTTTTAATTTAAATGAAAATTTTGATGTTACAGGGATTACTGAGACTTGGCTTGACTTGGAAAAACAGTATTATAAAAATTCCTGTTTAACATTGTTAGATTATTTAAAAAAAAAAAGAAGGTAGCTTTAGCTATGTATGTTAAATAAAATTATAGATAACTGATCTGGAAGATATAAATGTAGAATCAGTATAGGTGTCTGACTGTAGATATAATGACAGGAAATTGTTTGGAAACTGCTATAGACCACCTGATCAAATACAGGAGGTTGATAATATGCTTTATAAGGAAATTAGAAATTTTCACTGAAATTGTATGGGGGTATGATAGAGAAAATGGTAGTTTATTGTAAGAGTAAACATGGGAGTTCCTGTACTAATTAGAGAAAATACTATGTTGGATTAACTACTGATGAGGACAGGAGTACTCAGCTGGGTGAAGAGGACCTGTTTTTGAAAAAGCAAAATTAAAATCTATGTGTACACATAAAACAACAAGGCAGCTCAAGTAAGTCCAGGTACTACTACCAGCAGAATTTCGTCCCTGGTTGAGGATATTATTCAGTAGATTTGGGGGAAGAGGAATTTGGAAACCATTCATCTTTGTACAATTAATTATTTTATGCTAATATCAAGGTTAGTAAAAGTAATGTCTTAATTCAAAATCTTGGAGCAGCTAACTTTGAAGATATGAGAAAAGAACTGTCTCAAGGAAAATAAATTGTAGTGAAATGGTTTACAAAGGAAATTTAAATGAAAAGTTTAGAAAAGCATTACATATTTATACATTTCAAACAGACTGCTAGCATTAAAGATTCAGAGGCCTAAAGAACCATTAAAGAACTGGTTAAAAAGAATATTAGGAAATCAAAAAGAGTAAATGAGAAGCAGTTTGTAGGAAATACTAACACAAGCAGTGAAAACTTTTTTAAGTATGTTAAAGGGGAACAGAATGCCATCATGAAACTTGGCCTTTACAAATGTTTTTCATCTGTTTTTGCCTGGACTGGTATAAATAACCTAGGATAATGAAAGAAACAAAAGAGAACCTTGTTGAAATATGCTTTTGGGCTGTAAAATATCAATCCTGTTTTAAAAGCTCTTACTTTTACTTTATCCCTTTAAATCCTTTTCTACAGTGTGAGAATTTCATGACGTTTTCTCTTGTTGCACCTGGTTTTGGGCTACTGTTGATCTTCTAACATTTTTTTTCAACACATTCACTCTTGGCTATCAGTTTTAATATGATGACTTATTTTTTGCTTAAAATTTGGAAAGTGAAAAAATAAGAGAACTTTCCTCATTATCATCACTTTCATATTTGACACTTTTGTTTGCTATGATTTCAGGCAGCCTCACTTAAAACTTTTATCACTACTTAGCTTAGTCTGAGTTTTTTTAATAATGCACATCACCATCTGTTAGCATTTTATGATGCTGATCAACTTAACTACTCTCCCACTAAAATTATAGTTTAAATGTAATTTTTTTTAATTTCCTTACACTGGGAAACCTGATAATTGGAAGTTGAATCCCTGTCTCTAAAAAATAAGTCTTAAGTAAAAATCAGAAAAACCATAGGTTAAATAGTTTTACTATAGTAGTTTGCTTTTTTTTTAATTATTGATTATATAGATTCCACATTGTCATGACAGCAACAGCTGGTCCAAGGTGTCTAATGTTATCTTATTCTAGTTGCCTTAACCCTTTATTCTTTAGCTAAATGTTCTCTTCTGCCAGAAGGTATATTTCAGTATATTTTGAGCCTGGGTTAGAATTAGTTAAAACTGGAATATACTTTGCCGGCTGAACTTCAAAATCAATGAGAATAGAGGTCATGAGGTGATGCTGTCTGCTAGATGAAAAAAGTAAGTTGATGTTTGGAATACAGGTGTTTTCTTTGTATCAGTTTACTCCTAGTTTTTGCTGAGAGGAGTCTTTCTAGAGTTTGTTCAGTGTTTAAGTAATCTATTTGGTGAAAATCTTCAAGACTAAACCTCTCATACTTGGAGTGAGAATTGTTTGTTTTTGCATGTGAGTGCACATTTGGAGTTTTCTTTTTGTGAATAAAGATTTTTGTTTATTTTGCCATAATTTTTTTAGCCTGTTCATTTTCCTACAAAACAAACATTCAGTTCAAACACATTTAATCACAAAAATTTTCATAATTTTCCTGTGTCAGATTCTGCTGTTATTGTGGTTACTTCTATCAGAAAATTGTTTTTTAACTGAAAATATCACA